GGCACGGCCACAGAAATGGGGACATCACGAGGAGGTGGCCGTGGGGATGAGGACGCCGTGAAGACATGGCTATGAGAATGGGGACAGCACAGGGACACCGCCATGGGGATGGGGACAGCATGAAGACGCGGCCGCAGGAATGGGACCCGTGGGGATACAGCTATGGGAACGGGGACGCCGTGGGGACACGGCCGTGGGGATGGGGACACCATGGGCATATTGTTCTGGAAATGGGGACAGCGTGGGGACACGGCCATGGGGACAAGGACAGGGTCCAGGTGGCACTGACCGGGGACGGCGGGGGGCACGGTGCGGCGCAGGGCAGTGACGGTGGCCATGGCGATCTCCTCGGGGCTGTACTTCTTGGTGCAGGCGTGGCCTGGTGTCACCATGTTGGGCTTCAGCAGCGTCCCCTCCAGGTAGACGTGGTGGTCGCTCAGCGCCTTGTAGACAGCTGCCAGCACCTGGGGACACGGGGACGTTGGTGGGGACACAACGGGGACGTGGTGGGGACACGCTGGGGACACGCCGGGGACGTCACCCACCTTCTCGGTCACGTACTGGCAGTGCTTCAGGTCATGGTCACCATCTGGGAGGATCTCAGGCTCCACGATGGGGACGATGCCGTTCTGTGGGGACACGGGGAACGTTGGGGACAGGGACACCCCACAGTGACTGGGAGGGGACACGGGGGTGGGGACATGGTGGTGGCCAGGGCACAGCGCGGTGGGAGGTGGCCCAGGTGCCCTGGGGTGGCAGGAGGGGACATGGAGGTGACACCGTGTCACGTCTTCGTGCCACCTCGTGTCACCGTGTCATGTCTGGGCGACACCCACTGCAGCTGGGAGGCCACCAAGCACCACAGGACACCCGCAGGGGACACAGGGATGGGGTTGGGGACAGGGAGGTGACACAGGGACAGGTAGGGACACACTGAGGTGACCCAAGGGCATGGAGGTACCACCACACCGCGTCTAGGTGCCACCTCGTGGTGTCACCCTGCAGGTTGGAGGCCACCAACCACCATAGGGCACCCAGAGGTGACATGGGGATGGTGTGGGGACACAGTGAGGAGACCCAAGGGCATGGAGGTGCCACCACACCACCTCTACGTCCCATCACACCACGTCTAGGTGCCACCACACCATGTCCAGGTGCCACCTTGTGGTGTCAACCTGCAGGTTGGAGGCCACCAACCACCATCGGGCACCCAGAGGTGACACAGGGATGACATGGGGTCATAGTGAGGTGTCCCAAGGATGCGAAGGTGCCACCATACCATGGCTAGGTACCATCACACCACATCTAGGTACCTCCTCGTAGTGTCACACTGCAGCTTGGAGGCCACCAACCACCATAGGGCACCCAGAAGTGACATGGGGACGGGGTTGGGGACAGGGAGGGCCCCGGGGAGAGGACGGGGACCTGCTGGCAGATGCTGGCATAGCGGGCGAGGACGTTGGCGTTCTCCATCACGGCCAGGCGCGTGGGCGTGTGCTCGGAGATCTTGAGGACACAACGCCACTTGGCGAAGTCAGCCCCATCCTTCTTGTACTGGGCGCAGCGCTCCATCAGCCCGTCCAGCCCTGGGGACACCACGGGGACATCAGGGCCGGGGACACCGATGGGGTGTGGGGGAGGCAGCATGGATGGGGACATGGTGGTGGCATCAAGGATGGGGACAGTGATGGGGTTTGGAGATGGAATCGGGGATGAGGCCACTGTGGTGGCATCAGGGATGGGGACTCCAGTGGGGTGTGGGGGCATCATCAAGGGTGGGGACACTGTGGTGGCATCAGGGATGGGGACACTGATTGGGCTTGGGGATGGCATCAGGGGCGGGGACACCATGGTCACATCAGGGTTGGGGACAGCAATAGGGCGTGGGGGCAGCATGAGGGATGAGGCCACTGTGGTGGCATCAAGGATGGGGACACGAGTGGGGTGTGGGGGCGACATGAAGGATGGGGACACCATGGTGACATCAGGGATGGAGATGCCAGTGGGGCTTGGGGATGGCATCAGGGGTGAGGACACCATGGTGGCATCAAGGATGGGGACAGCAATGGGGTGTGGGGGTGGCATCAGGGAAGGAGATAGCAATGGGGTGTGGGGTGGCAGTAGGGACAGGGACGCCATGGTGGCATCAGGGATGGGGACGCGGCTGGGGCCACCCTTGGGGACACAGCTGTCACTCACCCTGGGTCGTGGTCTCGCCGTTGGTGCCAGCCAGGGGCACGACCCCCTTGTCCACCTGGGGGACGGGGACAGGGTCACCAGGGTCACTGGGGCGCTGGCCCGGTCCCCACCCTGTCCTCACGTGTCCCCCCACCCTGTCCTCACCTGCGTCCCCACAGCCCACTCGTGTCACCCCCGTGTCCCCTGGGGCACCTCGATGTCCCCGTGTCCCTCCAACGTCCCCAATGTCCACCTGTTACCCCAACATCCCCATGTCCCCAGTGTCCCTCCTGTCCCCAATGTCCCCCTCAAGGGGACAATGCCCTCAATGTCCCCACGTCCCATCCCCCCCCAAGGTCCCCATGTCCCCACCTTGATGCCAACGAGACCCTTTTGATGTGGTTGACCTGCGTCAAGGAGCACCCAAGCCCCCAACGCCCCTGTGTCTCCCCAACGTCCCCAACACTCCTGACGTCCCCGTGATGTCCCCAAGGCCTCAACGCCAACAATGGTTGGCCTGATGAAGCCACCTTTGGTCTGGTTGACCTGGTTTCACCTTTGACCCCAACGTCCCCAACACTCCTGATGTCCCCGTGATGTCCCCAAGGCCTCAACGCCAACAATGGTTGGCCTGATGAAGCCACCTTTGGTCTGGTTGACCTGGTTTCACCTTTGATGCGGTTGACCTGGCTCCAACCCCCCCCCCCCTCCACGTCCCCTCATTGTCCCCAAGGCCCCCAGTGTCCCCGCGTGTCCCCCGACGTCCCCACCTTGATGCCGACGAGGGCGCCCTTGCCGCGGATGACCTGGGGGAAGGGACGCCCATCGTCCGCCTTCTGGTAGAGGGTCTCGTGGAAGAGGATGACCCCACCGATGCAGGCGTCCACCCGGCTGTCGGCGGCGCCGTCCCGGCCCCCTGCCGGTACCAGCGCCGGTTCTCCTCCGTGTTCTCCGCCCCCACCGAGCTCAGCCGCTTGGCGATGCTGCCTGTAGCCGGTCCCAGTACAAACCAGTCACTCCCAGTTCAGCCCAGTATAGCCCAGTAACCCCAACCGGTCTCCTGGTGCTGCCCCAAGGTGTCCCAGTAGCTCCCAGTGCTGCTCCAGGAGCTCTCAGGAACCCCCTGGTGCCACCTTGAAGTTCTCAGACGCTTTGCGATGCTGCCTGCAGATCCCAGTACCCAGTATAACCCAGTAACCCCAACCGGTCTCCTGGTGCTGGTGTCCCAGGTCCCAGTAGCTCCCAGTGCTGCTCCAGGAGCTCTCGGGAACCCCCTGGTGCCACCTTGAAGTTCTCAGACGCTTTGCGATGCTGCCTGCAGCCATCCCAGTACAAACCAGTCACCCCCAGTTCAGCCCAGTATAGCCCAGTATGGCCCACCGCCCTCCTCATGCTGCCCCAGTGCCTCCCAGTAGCTCCCAGTGCAGCCCCAGGAGCTCTCAGGACCCTCCTGGTGCCACCTCGGGGTGCTCAGCTGCTTCCCAACCCTCCTCGCGGCCATCCCAGTGTAAACCAGTTCATCGCAGTATAGACCAGTAACCCCCAGTAGTCTCCTGGTGCTGCCCCAGTGCCTCCCAGTAGCTCCCAGTACTTCCCAGTCCAGCCCTGGCATCTCCCAGCAGTTCCCAGTGTCCTCCCAGTGTCGCCCCAGTAGCTTCCAGTGCCCTCCCAGTGCTCTCCAGGCATTATTCCAGTGGCTCCCAGTAACTCCCAGTGCTGTACCAGTGTCCCCCAGTAGCTCCCAGTAGCTGCCTGATGCTGTCCCAGTGGCTCCCAGTAGCCTCCCAGTGTGTCCCCGTGCCCTCCCAGTAGTTCCCAGTGCCTCCCAGTGTGTCCCCGTGCCCTCCCAGTAGTTCCCAGTGCCTCCCAGTGTGTCCCCGTGCCCTCCCAGTAGTTCCCAGTGCCTCCCAGTGTGTCCCCGTGCCCTCCCAGTAGTTCCCAGTGCCTCCCAGTGTGTCCCCGCGCCCTCCTAGTCCCCTCCTAGTGCCCCCCAGTGCTCTCCCAGTTGCTCCCAGTGCCCTCCCAGTGCCTCCTGATCTCCTCCAAGTGTGTCCCAGTGCCTCCCAGTGCCCCCTCCACCCCCTCCCAGTACATCCCAGTCCCTCCCGACGCCCTCCCAGTGCTTCCTAATCCCCTCCTAGTAGTTCCCACCGCCCACCCGGTGGTCGGCGGTGAAGAGCAGCTGCCGGTACCAGCGCCGGTTCTCCTCCGTGTTCTCCGCCCCCACCGAGCTCAGCCGCTTGGCGATGCTGCCTGTAGCCGGTCCCAGTACAAACCAGTCACTCCCAGTTCAGCCCAGTATAGCCCAGTAACCCCAACCGGTCTCCTGGTGCTGCCCCAAGGTGTCCCAGTAGCTCCCAGTGCTGCTCCAGGAGCTCTCGGGAACCCCCTGGTGCCACCTTGAAGTTCTCAGACGCTTTGCGATGCTGCCTGCAGCCATCCCAGTACAAACCAGTCACCCCCAGTTCAGCCCAGTATAGCCCAGTATGGCCCACCGCCCTCCTCATGCTGCCCCAGTGCCTCCCAGTAGCTCCCAGTGCAGCCCCAGGAGCTCTCAGGACCCTCCTGGTGCCACCTCGGGGTGCTCAGCTGCTTCCCAACCCTCCTCGCGGCCATCCCAGTGTAAACCAGTTCATCGCAGTATAGACCAGTAACCCCCAGTAGTCTCCTGGTGCTGCCCCAGTGCCTCCCAGTAGCTCCCAGTGCCTCCCAGTACCCCCCCCACTACCACCTCGGGGCACTGGGGTGCTTGGCCAGGCTGCCTGCAAGCTCCCAGTGCCTCCCAGTTGCTCCCAGTAAGGCCCAGTAACTCCCAGTACTCCCCAGGTGCTGCCCCAGTGCCTCCCAGTAGCTCCCAGTACTTCCCAGTCCAGCCCTGGCATCTCCCAGCAGTTCCCAGTGTCCTCCCAGTGCCGCCCCAGTAGCTTCCAGTGCCCTCCCAGTGCTCTCCAGGCATTATTCCAGTGGCTCCCAGTAACTCCCAGTGCTGTACCAGTGTCCCCCAGTAGCTCCCAGTAGCTGCCTGATGCTGTCCCAGTGGCTCCCAGTAGCCTCCCAGTGTGTCCCCGTGCCCTCCCAGTAGTTCCCAGTGCCTCCCAGTGTGTCCCCGTGCCCTCCCAGTAGTTCCCAGTGCCTCCCAGTGTGTCCCCGTGCCCTCCCAGTAGTTCCCAGTGCCTCCCAGTGTGTCCCCGTGCCCTCCCAGTAGTTCCCAGTGCCTCCCAGTGTGTCCCCGTGCCCTCCCAGTAGTTCCCAGTGCCTCCCAGTGTGTCCCCGTGCCCTCCCAGTAGTTCCCAGTGCCTCCCAGTGTGTCCCCGTGCCCTCCCAGTAGTTCCCAGTGCCTCCCAGTGTGTCCCCGCGCCCTCCTAGTCCCCTCCTAGTGCCCCCCAGTGCTCTCCCAGTTGCTCCCAGTGCCCTCCCAGTGCCTCCTGATCTCCTCCAAGTGTGTCCCAGTGCCTCCCAGTGCCCCCTCCACCCCCTCCCAGTACATCCCAGTCCCTCCCGACTCCCTCCCAGTGCTTCCTATCCCCTCCT